AATCTTCATCTTCTAGAAGACTCCCAAGTCTCCTAATCCCAAGAGAAGATTCTAGTTGGAATTTTATTCTCCTAATTAATTAATTACTATGGAATAAAATTAATTCCTATTTAATGGAATTAAATAATAAAACATCCCACTAGATTAATATTATTGCTCTCCCCATTTAGCCACTATTTTACTAATAAAATCGAGCCTCCATGATTAAATAATATTAATCTGATTGATCGATTTACCTGCCTATGTTTAAGATATAACATCTGTTGATTAATTAAATTAGTGACAAAGTAATTAATCAACTTCTTATTCATTTCCAAAATTAGTACCACTTAGCCCTTAACCATTATGTCAGACAATCGTCTACCTGCAGGGTTTAACATAAGTTTCCTTTCTGAGCTCACTTCGGGGACGTCATCAATCCAGCGCACTGGAACATAGTGACTGTAAATAATCTATAATAGCACATCATATAATTATTCTTACTTACCAAAATACCTCGTATGTCATCCTAACAGAATATGAATCACTTGGTAAATGAAATAAAAAAGAAATAAAAATATATGCCTATTTTATATTATTTTATAGCTTAAGAGAACGCATCAATCACTGAAGGTCTAGGTTACGACAACGGTCAGTGAATCTCATATCCTTATCCTTCTGTGGTCCTGTTCAACACTTAACATAAGTGCTAGTGTAATCCTTCAGTCAAAGACCAACTGAATCGGGAATACACTACAGTCTTTTTCCAAGTGGGGTCTCACTGCCAGTCTAGACTGTGAACGAATAGTTTAGTCTTATAAGGAACCGATAGGTGATCTTTCCGTTCGAAACTCTTCGAACCACACTATCTCAATATAAGACATGGAGTATGTATTGCACACATAAATAAACTGCAAACATATGTACTTTGACCGAAACATGATTGCCAGATCAAAATGGAATTGATAGAAACTGCAAAACACAGCTTTTACAGCATACCTCTAACAATCTCCCACTTATGCTTTATAAGCTCATGGCTAAACAAAAATAACCACAATTTCTTTCAATCTAATTCTCAGAGACTAGTCTCTTATGTTGCCCTAACATCTGACTCCCATTCCTTTTACGTGTCTCGTAAAGACTTTCGCCGGTAGGCTCTTCGTAAAAGGATCTGCTAGGTTGTCCTCTGATTGTATCTTGGCAACAACGACTTCTCCTCGTCCAACGATTTATCGTATCAGGTGGTACTTGCGCTCTATGTGTTTACTTGTTTTATGAGTCCGTGGTTCCTTCGAATTTGCTATTGCTCCGCTGTTATCACAGAAAACTGTGATTGCCAGACAACTTCTTTCGCTGCCTCTGAGGCTGCTACATACTCACCCTCCATGGTTGAGTCCGCCACGCATTTCTGCTTGACACTCCTCCATACAATGGCTCCTCCTCCTAAAGTAAACACAAACCCTGAGGTTGACTTGCTTTCGTCCCGGTCTGCCTGAAAGTCAGAATCGGTGTAACCCAACGGAAGCAACTCATCTGCCTGGTAAACCAACATGTACTCCTTAGTCCTACGAAGGTACTTGAGAAAATGTTTTACCGCAGACCAATGTTCCGACCCTGGATTACTCTGATATCTTGCTACCATGCCCATGGCATAACAAATATCAAGTC